GTTGAATTTAAAAATTTAGTGGTTTTATGGTTCAGCGGGTAATCGTTAAACAACCTATGATAGAATCATTTGTACGTTATAACATAAAGCAAGTATATAGTACACTAATTTATGATTGAATTTATCACTCTAAACATGAACATTTCCAAATCCATATCATTCATCACCAAAACTTATAACAAATCATTCAAACAATCTCCAAAAAAAAATCATAATTTTTGTATTAATTATTAATTAGGCTAACAATGCCTAGTGGACCACAAAGCCAACAAGGAGGTTGGAGAAATAAATGAAACAAAAACAAAATTAGTAGTTCATGTTGGATGATCTTAGTTTAAAACAATGAACTAGTGTACCAGTAAAATCTGTATATTCCATGTAATTTTATATCTACCCGTTAAAAATCCATTTGGTCCATTCCAATCCGTCCAAACAAAAACACCGAACCGATATTACACCCAATTTTTGTCATTCTACTTGTGCAGCCGCTGTTCCGATTCCATATAACAAAGCCCCAATAGAATAGAACCTCTCAAGAATTGGTTTCTCCTATTCAGCAATCTCCAACCCTCGAGCTAAACAGAAAGAAATTGCCTTGCTTGGTTTGGTTGGTCCAGAGGAAAGATCCAATTCATTCCCAACTATCACAATTTGTCCAACTAGTCGACACAATTCCATTCTCTTCTTCCCTAACCTTTTCCCCAAACCCCTTTCTTCCAACCCTCCCAAACCCACCTTTTCCCCCTAAACACATCCATACAACTAGCACAGTCCACTTTCCAGTTTCCCCCGTCTTTAAATATCCCAAAACCCATTTCCCCCTCTTCCTCCCACTCCATCAAAATGGGACTCATGCCCGGCGGCGGCGGCGGCCACCACCACCACTCGGGAAGAATCAACGACGACCCATCATCGGAATCCCACCGCCACCCATCCCTCACTTCACAGCTCAGCCTCCCCACAGTCCCTTCTCTAACCAACCCTCAACCGCCACATTACTCCTCTTATACCCTCGTAACCACCCTCAAGGGCCACACCTCCTACCTCTGCTCCCTCACCGTCTCCGGCGACCTCCTCTACAGCGGCTCCTCCGACCAAGAAATCCGCTCCTGGCCCCGACACCACCACTGCTCCGACCAAGTACTCGAACACGATGACAACGTGGTCGCAGAAGGGAAAGGGGCCGTGAAATCGATGGTGATCGCCGACGACAAGCTCTTCAGCGCCCACCAGGATCACAAAATCCGAGTGTGGAAAATCTCCTCCTCCGACCACCAGAATCAGAAATTCCAGCGTCTGGCCACTCTGCCTACATTGACCGACCGCGCGGCCAAAATCCTGTCCCCGGGGAACCAGGTCCAGATCCGCCGCCACAGATCGTCCACGTGGGTCCACCACGTGGATGCGGTGGCGGCCTTGGCCCTGTCCCACGACGAGCAGTTCCTGTACTCCGTGTCGTGGGACAGGACCCTCAAGGTCTGGCGTGCCGCCGGCGACTTCAGGTGCCTGGAGTCGGTGGCGAGCGCGCACGACGACGCGATCAACGCCGTCGCGGTGTCGCCGCGTGACGGCGGGACGGTGTACACGGGATCCGCGGACACGCGGATCAAGGTGTGGAGGAGAGACGAGTCGGCAAGTGGGAGGAAGCATTTGTTGGTGCTGGCGGAGACGCTGGAGAAGCACAATTCAGGGGTCAATGCTCTGGCTCTCAGCGAAGACGGCTCTGTTCTGTACTCCGGCGCCTGCGACAGGTCGATTCTGGTGTGGGAGAGGAATGGGGATGGGGAGATGGTGGTGGTCGGAGCGCTGAGAGGGCACGCGGAGTCGATTCTGTGCTTGTTTGTGGTGTGTGATCTGGTTTGCAGTGGGTCGGCGGATAGGACGGTGAGGGTGTGGAGGGCGGCCGGCGGCGGCGGGGTTGATCGGAAGTACTCTTGCCTGGCGGTTTTGGAAGGGCATGCCGGGCCGGTGAAGTGCTTGACGGCGGCGGTGGATTGCTTGGACGATGAGTATATGTCGTGTTCTGTTTACAGTGGAGGTTTGGACTGTGATATCAAGGTGTGGCAGATCAGTGTCCCTGTTTTGTAGAAGACTCTGCTTCTTCGGGATCTTTGGTTGCAGTTTCAGATTCATGGGGTTTTCCTCCCCTTTATTTTTTTTTTATTAATTTCCATGTAGATTGTCCCTTTTTGGGAGGCTAATTTTGTTTAGAGGGGAGTAGAAGGCGAATTGGATACTAAGGAGTATGAGTTTTTCAATGATGGTTAGGCCAAAGCCAGAATTATGAGTTTGATGAACGTTGTGCTCTATACATTATCACTAGGTCAATTAATCTGAGGATTTCAACCTCAATTCCATCAAAGCACAATTAATAGCTAATGAAAGCGAAGGACCTAGTAAAACTGAGCAATCAATCACAAAGTTAGCATTTCTATATGCATGCTCTGACTTATCGTGCCAAGAATATGTTATGCTATAAGCCGTTGAATCTCCACTATTGAGAAAATGTGTGGGTGGTTCAGCATTGCAATCATAATCAGGTATTTGACTGCGAGAGGTTCTGTGAATCTAAACAATCTTCTCTCTTTTTTTCCGAAAATTAAATTATAGAGCAAGATAAATAATTGAAATCATTGTTGAGTCTTGACTAAAGAACACTAGAGGCAATTATAAGCCTGAAATTTCCCTGAAGAAAGTATCACCCTCAGGAAGAATTCTTTTTGTGTGCATGGGTCGTTTTCTTTGCCCATCCTATCATTGTGTGAAACTTGGACTTAAGAACAGTATATTCTCACAAATGACAAAAATGATAGGCTTACACAAGAAAACGTATGTGGAGGAAAGGGACCTTAAACTCCTAATTGGACAGCACATAATTTGGTTGCTGAAAATGCCAGTCTATGCCCACCAAATCATTTCAGTGGGTTACTTACGGCCTTTGTCAGGACGTGGAGAGCAGAGAGCGCCGTGGAAGCTTCCCCCACAGTCGCACAAACTTTTACCCCAACTTGCTCACTACTAGCGGTGTGCAATGGATTGGTCTGTACCGTGAATTGAATCAAACTTATGCTTGAATAAGACTATATACCGAATAGAATACAATGTGATTCATTCATTGATCTCCAAGAATTGTATAAATACTAGAAAAAATTGAACCAGACTGGATACACTGTTGATCCCGAACTTGATCCTAGGAGATCTTCTATTTTTCACTATTAAACCCGCGGCTTTCATTAATTTGGTCCGGTCCAAACCGGATTGTAGCACACCCCTACTCACATCACCGTGTAATATTGGTGGAGCTAGGTGTTGTAGCCCTTTTCAATTTAAAATATATGTTAAATCTCATATATATATATATATATGGTGACTACTTCGGTGCACTCACAAAAATGAGTGTGTTCAATGCACCCAACTCAAAAACTAGTTTTAAGGTGTCGAATTTTGAATTTTAATTTGTAGAATTAGTGTAATATGATGATATAACATATGATAACAACTAATTAGCCGATTACCCTAAGCTCTAGACCTCCAATTTTGATTTCTATCCCAAACCCTAAATCATAAACTCTAACCCTAAATCTCTAAACTATAAATCCTTCAAATTAACTTAAATCTTTGATGATTTTTGTGCAAATTCATGTGCGTTATTGTTCACCGCATCATAAGTGATGATTGACATCATTTTGACATAAATCGCATGTTTAAAATGTCTGTTATGAAGTGAGTGTACTGAATGCACCCAAAAAAGTGAGTGCACCAAAGTCGCCACCATATATATATATATATATATATATGGTAATGACAATATAAATCAAAAGATTATAATAGTCCGTAACCGAACCTTCAATTACAACAATTTAAATCAATCCCTCATTCACCATTTCTAGCTCCGCCACGGCCAACCAAGTAAAAACGGGCAAAGGTTGGGGCTCACCTGAAAGCTCAACTGAGATATTATGGTGGTTCAAGTAGGGTTACCTGAAAGCTCAACTGTACCACAAAACCCACCACCTTTCTGTTGTAAAGTGAGCAATCAAAGCAAACAAATATGGAGCAAGCTATACTTTGGCCTTTAGACACCAAATGGCAAATGGAAAAAGCATTCTCCATCTATCGCTGGCAGGGGAAATAAAATAATTGGGGGCACACTGATACAGATCAGAAAGTCATGCCATAACAAGGAAATGGAGAACATGGTCCCAAACATTGGGTCCTTTAGGGAGAGATATGTAGTAAAGGATCTATGCTAGGCTTAATAAACAAACAATGGTTACCAATGAGGTTACTGATTCGAATAAACAAAAGAAACCCTATTACGAGGAGAGTTAGGTAAAGTTCCTCTTTCCATGCCAATACTAACACTACGATTCTAACCTACTCAATCTACTTACCAAGGCTTCAAAACAAAACCCTTTCACTATCACGCTATGTAAGGAATCTTGACAAAAGGAAACCTGGCCACTTGGTGAAATATCAAGTGAGAAAACAACATTATCTTCCTGTTTAGGCTCCTATATACAATTCTACCCCCCCTGCAATTCTGGGTCTCGTGTCTCACATGCAGCTTAAGTACCAAACAGAAAGGCAGGCAAGCAATTCCTTGGTCTAGATTAAATAAAAGGAAGTAGGTAAATGAAGGCAGCAACTAGGACAATACTTTCAACTTTAAAAGTGAAGTATAAAGCATCCTTGGATGGATTAGAAAAGCTTTTAAATCCAAGAATAAAACTAACAGGAAAGAGAACTGGGAAAACAGTGTTGGAGCTGGGTTTCAGTAGCTAAACATGTCATCTTGACCTTATCGGGGAAGCTAGACTTTGAGCAAAGTCGAGCAAAGATGAAATGCTTCCCAATGCTTATGACAATAAAATGTTACGCATGAGAAAGAAAAGGTTTCTATTCCAATCATTGTCAGTACCTATTTTTGCTTCATATATAAAAATCCCCAGAAAGCCTTTATGCAGCAGCTAGTTAGTATTCTATTCCTGGTTTGAAACATCATATCTGGCAAATTGGCCTCATAGTTCACACTGAAGATTCCTAACTAGAAGTCCTATGCACAATGGAGTATCAGTTAGGATTATGGAGTTACTAGAATTCTAGTTCCTTATTTATTCAACTAGCTAAGTTGAAGAATTTCAAGAGCACATTCACCAATGAATAATATGTCAAAAAAGTAAATGTAACTATTACTGTCACAAGTCAACATGGGAAATGATTAGCAGGTAAATTTTCATTGCTGACATCCGTTCCATCAACTATTAGATGCGAGAATACAACAAACCTACAATTTTTTCATCTTTAATTTTTACAAGAAGAGTGAAGATCATACAAGGATATGAATGGATATCAAACTGGTGACTTTGCTGGTGTACCTGGCTCACGTGGGTACTTCTTTGGGGTGCGGCGATCCTTTAAGCATATGATAGCAGTCCTCTGTCCGTGTGGGCTATGCGATTTCACTGGAAGTGGTTAATGATAACATGTTACTTGAATGCAAGGACCAAGGACTGATGGACAGACACTAATTTCAGATGACAGTGAAGGAGGTTATCCAATCAGATGCTAGCTTATGCTACCACCCTTGTTGATCTAGTGAAATGTTTACTCTTGTAACTGTAGGTAATAAGATGTTCACTTAGGAGAGGCACCTCAGCAGAAGGGAACTATGTAACCCCAAAAACATCTACTTTTCTGTACTATCCAAGACTGTAAGATACTCTCTAATGCATAGAACTGTAACTGGAGGGGAACAGGGACCTCTACAAACGGGTGTCCACCTTTCTCCACAGTAATCAAAGAAAACGCATGAACTACTAAGAAAGAGGACCAAGCGGCCTTGATCCAGTTTCATACTTATTGACATTGAGCTTCCACAAGGAAAAGGTGCAAAAAACCTTCTACCAACAGAAAAAAGAAAAATGCAGTGTTTGGTTGCGTCCGGGTCTCACTCGGGTATGCAGCCAACCTACTACTAAAACGATAATGCAGTGGCTTTTCCCACTGGAGCAATAAGAATAGGAGAAGGCACATAATTGGATAGTAATATGGATGAAAAATAACATATACCTGGGTGCAGTTGCAGCAAAGAGCCACCCATCAGTTGCATTGATCTTTCTGCACTTTTAACTTCCTCCTGTCATTTTCCAACATATGGAGGAAAATCAGCATTACATTATCATCTTAGTAATTAACAATTCAGAACATAATACGATTCAGGCATCAACAAGCTCCAGTGTAGGTCAAAGATAAAACATATTAATGAAATTTCCACCCAGGGTTAAGACGGATGATGAATATCCAAGACCGTTGATGCCTGCTGTATTTAAAAACTTTAATGTGATCAGAAGTACGTGATAACAGCCATACACTTCCACAATCCAAACCCAAGATATGAAACATTTGTCTCAACATCCCACACAAAAACAAAGTATTGAGAGAATGCAAACATACTTCTGGATTGTGACCCTTTGCCGCAACAAACAGCCCTCCAACACGAACCAGAGGCAGGCAGTACTCCACTGTCCATCAAATAAGCAACAAACTAAACGTTAACCCTTAACTTGGATTTACAAAATCACTCAGACGTCCAAATGGAATGATAAATATCATTTACCTAGAATTCTCATTTCGGCAACTGCTCTAGCCACCGCTACATCAAACTGTTCTCTGAAGGAAACATCCTGCCCTAAGTTCTGTCCTACAACAAGAGTGGGAAAATCACTATCACTAACAACATAATGACCAAGAAACACACGCCTTGTGAAGCTCTTAATTGGCTAAAGAGGAACTGTTATAAATACCTCTGCTCTACCCCTGACAACTTGAACATTGGATAACCCAGTGATGTCTACTGCGTGCTCCAAGAAATCACAGCGCTTTTTCATGGATTCCATCAGTGTTACTTTCCAACCTACGCTCCACAACAACAACAAAATTCAGCAACATCGCGAAGACCGCAGTAAACAATTTAGTCCCAATGGTGAAGCACGGAAACAACAAAGACAAACCTGGACAAGCGGCTGCCAAAATCAATCCCGGAAGCCCGGGTCCTGTGCCAACATCAACGACACTCAGGCTGTCAACTGAACCACTGCAGTTTGAAGAGTAGGAGTGGTTTATCGGAGGAATCAGCGCAAGCGAGTCCTCCACATGCCTCTCCATGACTTCATCGACGCTCGTGACCGCAGTGAGATTCATTTTCTGCAATAAAACTGAACCGCTAAAGCTCCAAAGAGCGAGGTAAATAAGCTACATCCCAACACAGATAAGGTGCGGGAAATCACCTACCTGGTTCCATTGAAGAAGAGTATCGACATAGAGTCTAATCTGGTCCTGTTGGCGGGAATTCAACGCTTCGAAGTAGGAAGAGCTGCGAATGCCGACAGCATACACAGATTTCCCCTGGATTCTGGTCGGACGAACTGATAAGGAAGTTGGAAGCGGAAGGTGTTCGACGAAATTCCCCAGAGAACATAGAAACGAGGCGTTGCAGGGCTGCCTCCACCGCCCAATCAACATCATCGTGTTCTGCTTCTCGCGCGCGTTCTCTTCTTCGGCTCCGCATATTCTTTCTCGAATTAAGTTAAGAAAATCCCGAACTGGGCTCCTACATCGCTGAATGCGCCCAGCCTGTAATCAAATATGGGCCGAGCTCCGCCCATGGACTTACCCGAATAAGTTGCACAACTTTCCGGTACGGGCCGACTAATGAGTTCATCATTTTTCGCGAACAATACAAAGTTGACCGAACCTTGGTGAAAGGACAGGATTTGCCTTGCCTGCCTTTTTCAGAAAGTGGGAGGAGGAGAAGAGAATCTTTTCAGACTAGTCAACCAAAAGAAGCACAAAACACAGTAAACAAGCAGGCAGGCAGCACGCTTCACATCTCTGCCCCCAAACTTCAATTTTCATTCATTTTGTTTGGATCAGAAATCCAAAAATTTTGATGGGACTTCTAGTCCAACCCTAACCAAATAGTGACTGAATCTTTTGCTGGATCCGGTTTTGGTGCAAGTTTATGCTTGGTCTTATACTATATGTTGATGCTCGGTAAATGTTAGAAACTATTCAAATGACTGGATGAGGGATTATTGATGATGTGAATAGTTATGTTTTTGGGGACAATTTGTTCTGATAAATTATCTAAAATGAAAAAGGATATAATTATTCTTGTGAAATATTGTCTGTTAATAAGAATAATAATTATCCTCCTAAAATGTGGTTAATTAATCCTTCAAAATAGAAGGATTCTAACCATAAAAGATTCACAAAATTGAGCAGCGACATAAAAAAGAATGGCATTCATTCATCTCCTTGTTTTTGCACAAATGAGAGAATTTGAGAGTGTATGACTATGTTGGGAGACAACTTAATGATAGTCTGTTGTGTTCAAACTAGTGCCTCAAACATTTTAATAAAATGATTGATTCGGGTCTAATTGTACACATTTTACCCTTCATTTCTTAATAATTTGACTTTGCATTTCATCGTCCGTTGACATATTTTACGCTAGGTTGTGCTATTGTTGATACATTTCAGGTCCTAGCACGTGTGGGAAGGTCGAGGACGAGTTTAGGGACGAATGGAGACAAGAATGGCAAGAAATAAAGAAAACAAAGAGAACACGGCCACGACTGTGTTCCCGAACCGTGTTCCACACCATCTACTTGGACACGGCAGCGTTTCAGGTAGGGCTGCAAATGAGCCGAGCTGTTCGCGAGCGGGTCGACGTTCGACTCGAGAAAAGCTCGTTCGAAACTCGGCTCGTTAATAAACGAGCCGAACACGAGATCACCTTTGTTCAGCTCGTGAAGCTCGCAAGCTAGCTCGACTAGGTGGCTTGTTGAGCTAAACTCGTGAGCTGACTCGTTTAGAGCTCATGATATGTCTTAACATGTGGTTAGAGCCAACTCGATTACCAACTTATGGACGAATCAATCTATATCTTATGATTTTAATTCATATGGTCGTTAATTTATATATCTCACCATATATAAACTTTTGCACGTTGAGTATGTGAGCAAATATATCTTATTTTCTACTTTACAAAGAAATTATGCATCATAGATTGCTTCGATACAATGAAATAACATGATTTAGAGTAGTTAAAATTTATTAACTAAACGATATATGATACCAACAAAGTATAATGTATAAGATGAGATTAACTAACAAAATAAATCATATGTATCATAATATACAAAATGAAGTACCCAATAAAAGTTAAGATTTTAATAAACAAGCTAGCTCGAACTCGACTCGACTCGTTAATAAACGAGCTGAGCTCGAGCTCGACTCGTTTATTAACGAGTCGAGCTCAAGCTGGGGTAAAACTCGACTCGGCTCATTTGCAGCCCTAGTTTCAGGCGACGAAAGATTATTTCCACTCGACGAACACAGTCTGCACACGCTCATGTTCATAGGGTGTGTCAGCAACTGAGCTCCAAAGGCTTTTGCGCGCCTCACTGGCACAAAAGATTATCACGGTCACTCAGACCATGATAATCAATGAAGAGGTCATGAAGTCGGGCAAAATCGGAGCATTTCGTCGAGTTTTGAAGAACATGGCCTGAACACCCCCGTGTTTGAGTTGATTTCTGCAGACTATAAAGTCTGCAGCAGAAGGAAGAAGATGAGAGCTTTTTGGTACATTTTTAGTGTGTGGAATAAAGGAGGGTTTCTAGTGAGAGATTAGGGTTTTCTCTTCCTATTCTAGAGAGAAATTGCCATTCAAAGAAGGAAGAAGGAAATTTGGGCTTGCCCTAAGCTAGAGGATTGAAGGTTTCTTCTTCTCGATGAAGATTCAAGCAACAAGGAAGGAAGAGATTGTCATCTCTTCATGGTTCTTTCTCTCCTTTTTGTTGTTTTCATTTGCCTAGCTATGGAATAGCCTACCTACTCACTTGAATATTGTGAATCCTAGTCTAGATATGTGTTAGGATGTAAGAACTTGATTCTATTGTGTTGATTGTGTGTTCTATATAATATTTGAGGTATTAATCATGAATGATTGAGTGTTGCTTGCATTATTTCACTATTGGGTCAAATTAATCTAGGGAGCTTGATCTCCAAGCCACTTGGGTAAACCCTTTTGGGTTGATATAGGGCCAAAAACTCATGTATCATATTAGTACCATGATTTTGACGTGATTGGTCGCTCTCCGCCATCCGGATTAAGTGCCGAGGGATTGGTTTGCAATCCTTAGTCGACCGGTTTAGAGGGAGCTAGATTGTCTAGACTATTGTTGTCATCCTGAGCCGAAAGGTAAAAGAGTTAGTCTACTAACTTAATGCAACAATCCTAAATTGGTCAACTAAGAGAGTTAGGGTTTCCTTGGTTGATTGGTCGAGAGAGCTAGGTTCACTAGCTTTTTGTTGCGATCCTTAATCGATCGACTATGAGAGTTTGTCCCTGGCTATTTGCACACACCTCGCGGTATAATTAAGAACACATCCTTCACACTAGAGTTGCGTTCATTGTTTCTTAATACGAGACTAGGAGGAGCAATACCCAGGTGAAGTTCTCTCAAGTAGAATTCTCCATAATTTACTTTACTTGTTTGTTTATTTTGTAGTTTTCTTAGTTTTAAACCAAAAACCGATTGCTAGATAACAACTTAAGCGATTGAAGCAGGGGTAACACGGACCGACCCAGGTTTGACAATTAAAACATATTTGCCCTATACTGCACCCGGCTAGAGTTTATACTTGGGCTCTAAGTCGGGGTTTATTTCGCGAGGTATCCGTGACGAGTCAATGATCTAATCCGAGACTAAATCAAATCAATAATCCTAAATTTCATTTTTTCGGTTTCTAGCCGTTTTACTCCAGTTTAGTTAACCATGTACGTGTAACTATGCATATACTGATACCATCCAAAAGTCAGATTGGCAGTTCCAGCTGTTGAACTGCTCCTCTCTCTTACTTTAATTCAAAATATATGCTCTCCCTTCTCTCTACTCCAGCTCCTAACCTCTGCTTTCCAGGGGCTACCGCCGGCTCCTTTTGGTGACCGGCGACAGCTCATGCTTCCCATTTTTCGTTTCCTTGCCTTCCTTGTTTGCCCTTGTCTTTCGGCAGTGTTTTTTCCGGTTTTCTCAGTTTTCAATCGTCTTCTCCAGCCGATGTGGCGTTCTAGTTTCCTCTTCAGTTGAGCTTTTGCTCTTCGGTCTTGTTTTGGGCTTGCTCTCTTTTGGGATCTGGAGGTTGCAGATTGGATGTCTCATTCCTCTCTTGGTGGTGGTTCATTGTACCAATCTAGTGGTCTCACCGGCTTTGGTGAAGCCATTCGCTGCTCTCCCATCTGACCTCTTCTTGTTGCTTGCTCTGCCTGGCTGTTCGTCGGATTGTTGAGAGTAGGGTCCTCTCCGGCTGTTTGCTGTGGTGGCTTGGTGTCTCCTTGGAGTGGGTGGCCTTTTCTGGCTTTTCTACGCTCCTTCGAACCCGACTGCTCTGCTTCGTCTTCCCCTGCCCTTTCAGCTTGGAGCTATCTGCTTCACAGCCTTTTCCACCGTCATGCAATCTCGCTTCGAGATTCACTGTGTTGGGTGTCTTCGAACAACCCCCAGGAGTCGGCTTTTGGCATTGCTGTGTTCTTTGCCATGGATTTCGTTGTGAGCGGACAAGCTGATGCTGATCTGTTTGCTACTTGGTTTGATTGGATACTAGAGGGATTATGATTGTGTTGGGTTTGGTTCAAGCGATAGGCATTTGATGTGTGTTTTCATTCTGTGCCTTGCTTTCTCCTGCTGTATTTTCCAGGCATGGTTTGATTTCATCTTGTGTTTCAGTGCTGCCTTGATCTTGTTTTGGATCCAGGGTTTTTAAATCCCTCTTTGTAACCGATCATTCGAAGTGCAATCCAAGATCCCTTTGTCAAAAAAAAAAGCTGTTGAACTGTTTCACTGAATGTCAAGAATACAAATCCTATATGTACATAACTGAGCCCTATATAGCTTGCAAGCTAGCTAGCTATTGAATGTCCAGAGCCCAGATATCAAGTTGTTGTTCTTAATTATTTCATAGATAGATAGTGGATATATGCCAGAGATCAGACAGTCTTGCTTGCTTTAACTAGACCCAATAAAGCGCATCGCCAACAAGGAATGCAATTTTATATGAGGAACAAGAACAAGAAAAGCAGTGTATAGGATAGTATCTACAGAATTCCATACGCATATACAGTCCATAAACAGCCTTTTCCTCTCTGCACCAAATTAATGTACAAAACCATTATTGTGCTGTGTATGATCATGTTGCCTGCCAGTACTGCTTAACAGAGAGCAAAGCATCTTTGTCCTCCCAAAATTCCCTCCAATATATTATTCATCTAGGACATGGGATATCTCTATTTGTATATTCCTGACTCATTGTACTAAGCCCTAATAAGGCTGTATTCATGGGGGCAATCATGCATCATCATTTTTATACTTCTGGTGGTGCTCACTTGCTCCAACCCACACACATGCTAACCTTTGCTTTCCCTCTTTTTATTAGTCAAAACTCAAAACTCAGAGCTACATTATGGTAAGATCTCTACAACTCATATTTTTATGTCTAGAGTACTCCAGATGATTATAAGGTGGTGATCGATTCGTAGAGGTAGGAGGAATTTGAGAGGGTTCAAACAGAATTGAGAGAAGAACCGAACTTGAGTCGAAAAGGAGCTAAGAACCGAGAAACCGAGAAATAAAACGAAAAGAACTTTATCATTTTCACTGGTAATTTACATACGTAGAATCCTATAAACCCTAACGGTCATATTACTAGCTTAGTCCTTTTAAACGGACCAGTACACATCTGCATAAGTTGTGCGAGATAGAACGTATTAAGCTCGAGTTTACTCGCTGACGGCAAAAATTCAATTCATAATTAATGAAGACACCTAGTCTCCTTGTAAAAAAAAAAAAAAAAAAAAGATCCGACATGACATGTAGAAAAGAAGAAAGGATATACTTGATTATATTTCCTTGTTTGAATATACAAAAGGTTCTCTAGAGTTTAGTGGGAAAGCTAGAGTTTGTTTATATAGTTAATTCAGTTCCTTTGTGAAAGAAAAAAAGTAGCCACTGATACTCTCTCACTCTCTCTCTTTCTACAAAAGTAGTGGAGTAGTAGTCATAATCCTCCCACGCTAGCTTTCTCAAGGGTTGAGGGGTTTGGGTTACAAAGATAGATATATATATATATATATAGGCGAGCATAATCATAGCTACTCATCATCATCAAACAGCTAATCATAATAATGGTCGCAGCTTCATCGTCTCATAGCTACCCTTCCTCTCCTTCAGCACCAACTTTCATCATCATCATCATCATTATCACAGCCCTTTCTCCCACTTCTCATCTCTACCACCATCATTACCCTGATCATCATCATCATGCTACAGAAGATGATGATGATGATGAAGCAGATCCCAATAACCAAACCCCCAAAGCCAAAGAGAGAGAGATCAGCAAGCACAAGATATATATATGTAGCTGCATTCACCTGAAGTGAATCAGTTTTTTGCTTACCTTTCTTTCTTTGTCACACATTCGCGGAGCAAGATCGATAGCTAGTTGCTATCTCTACTCCAGCTGCTGCTGCTGCATGCTAGCGGGAATCAAGCGTCTCGGTCCGATCGATTCTACTTTCTTTTCATGCTCTCTGTCTTTAATATAACTACTACTCTTGTTAGTTTCCAGCTGCATGTAATTTGATTAACTCTATATGTATGCATGGAATGGAATTTAATTTCTCTCCCACTTGGATTGAATAATGTTATCGCCTCTTCTTACAGAACAATATTATGGTAATGGCTTCCTTAATACTTCCTTAGCTTACTACTTCATCCAATATTTGGTAGATTCAGTAGTATTCGACTTTCGAAACCTTATCATATTGACAAATGCAAAAAAAGATTCTGTTCCTTTTGATTCTCATAATGTCTATCGATGGTTTATGACGTACGTACATGGAGATAGATCTCTCTTTGTGTAGTAAAGAAAGGAAACATGCATGTGTAAGTGTAAAGAGGTGAATGTGTTCTCGGAGCATGGTATAACAGTGATAATAAGTAAATATTTGTTAAAACCCAGCTGATAGCCTCCTATTGTTAGTAAAACGGTATATGATCCACGATTGAATCTCTCCCAACAACTCGAGTTATTGAGCAGCATGAAATCAGGGGTAGTCATCATGCTGATCAGATTGGCATGAGATTCATGTATTTAGGATTCTAAACTTGGTTCTTGGCAATGAGTTTGTGATGATACATATTTGGTCTATATTTTTGGGGTGAATCTATGTTTGATGAAGGGGGCCGGGGGAGAAAGATGCTTCTATGTATATACACGTCTATAGTAATGACAACGCGCGAGTTTGCTAGACGAGTTAGAGTTACCGATTTATTGATATGGGTGCAAACCACGATATGGAAACACCGCAATAATATTATGATGTCGATGACATTAATTAAATAGCCAAATCGTTTCAATGACTTTGTACAATCTGACATCCAACCTTGTTCGCCAAGGTCTTAGCACTCTCAACTGCATGTCAAATTGTAAGTATATGCATGTGTGTGACTGTGTGTACATGGAAGGAGAAGGAGCTGTGGAAAAACCGGTATGGAGCCAAAATGTATCCATCCTTTTTGACCATACCATACCATTCCAAGCAAAGCAAGGCAGGAAGCATAGACTTTAGTTTGTTCGGGTTCGTAAAACAAAGACTTATTAGCCATCAAATTTTTGTGGAGATTGTAATCTTGTGCTTTAGGTATCAGCCAACTTCAATTCAACCAGCGCATGCTCTCGTTGCTCTCCGTATTTTCAACCTCTTAAGGAAAGGTAGGAGAAATATAAGGCCTTAAGCATGTATTATATGTTTTCCCCCTTTTGCATAATGTTGGAATCTCTATTTGAATTGGCTTTAGGTAAAAATTAACATCCTTTTTCCTGTTTTGCCTTTAAACCTCTCATCCCAATTAATCAAAACCTCCAAAAGGGACTTGAAAGTTAACCCTACACACATAAATAAGAAAGAGCAAAGTACTTGTTTTGCTATAGAAAAAACCATGAATTGAAAAAAGCTAACCCTAGACCCACAATCTTCAAAGATTGAAAAAGAAAGGACTTGTGTTGCTATAGCGCGCGTTGAAGTGCGCAGTGGCTGGTGGACGGTGGTGGTGGCTGAAAAGCATAAAGCTTGTCTTTTCCTCCCCTCTTTTGTAATAACATCAAAATAAATAGATAATTAAACTAGACTTGTCTTCCTGAATCCAATATTTAATTAATCTTATTTTGTCCCCTAAACTTTACTTTTATTCCATTCTTATTTTTAATTTACAGGCTATTGCAGTGGGCAGGTTCGGAGCGGGTATCTCGATACCCATACCAGTCCCGCGGTAGGTCAGGTAATTTATCATGGGTCGTGGGTTAGGATAAGTCGACCCAATGGGTATGCAATTTATATGGAAAAACATTAGAAATTTTCATTATTTCATTATAAGACCAAGAAAACAAACCATATCATGATAAATGTAGATAAATTATTGGAGAAATTGAGGTAAAATAATTTACAACTTTATTATAGCTAAAATATGATGTAATAAAAGAAAAAAATTCAAAGTAATTTGACCAAGATTACATGTAATTTAGGCAAGAACGTGTTGAGAATGAGGCGGGTAAGGACAGGTCGGGTAGACAAGAATACCCCATGCCCGCCCTGTCCCGCCTACAAGGCGGGTAGAACCCGCCCCAAATAGTCCAACCAGATCGAGTAAAACGGGTAAGTTCGAAATTTCATTCCTACTTTTCTTCCATTTATTATTGAATCATATAATATTTGTACAATCTTTGATGGTGGCTTGGTAGGTTTGACTCCCATCGGTCGAACCAACTGATGTAGAGATGGACATGACAACAGAGGGAAGGGAAGGGATACCATATCATGGCCTAAGCGGGCCTAAGCCCAGAGGGGCCAGTAGATACAGTACGCATCTATCCAATGGGCTCCGCAACCGGGATTGGGCTAACATTGGGCTGCCAGCTCAGGCTTGGGTTCTAGGTTAATCCTTCACGTGCCCTGATAGGTTTCTGTAATCAGTTTATAGCCACGCGCGGTTTGCACCAAACTTTTCTTTTTGGTTTCACCCGAACCACCATCTAGAAACCAACAAAAGCACAAAACCAGACACAAGCGCAGAAGAAAACTAGTTCGGTTTCTTTACATCGAACCAACGGTTTCAATTCAGTCACCAAGGCTATTGGGAGGGCTTAATGGCGTTTCAGTTTGTGGTTAACAGTTCAGTTAACCAACCAAGCTTGTATTATCCACCATTAAGCGCAATGGCCATTGGGTTCCCTGGTTCTGTACCAAATTTGATAAACAATTTGGATCACAGAGGACAAACAGAGCAAAATCCAACTAGCTAGTAGCTACCAACGTACCAAAACTTTCCCATATACAAGTTTGAACCCAGATAGGCAAATTCATCCCTAGAACTCCACCACACAGAATGATTCCTAGGCATATCATGAAGCTAGCTAGAATACTTCTGTTACTATCATTCTGCAATTCTAAATCATGCAAGCATCTCTAGAAAATTCACAACCATGGCACTTGAACAACAGAGATTCAAAAGATAAATGATTTCACGCAACACAGTATCTCAGATGGGTTCTGAAGTCTAAAACAAGCACAAAGTACTGAAATATATCAATCCTGCACGTACCATTGTGAGGAAACAAAACAAGCATAAAGAAGGGAGCTTCTAGCTTTTTTTACTTCATGAGGTCTCAGCAGCAGGTTGAGTCACTCCAGACTTCACCAACAGCTTGCTAAGTGAATCAGGAGAGCAAACTTGGTACTTGACGCTGCCAGATGGAGAGAGGAACACCTCAGCCAGCTCGAGCTTGTCAGAAGTCAGGCTAGTGCTGTCCATGGTCTTGCTGAGAACCTTCAGTGCCAGATTAACAGCATCCTCTCTCGAGATGTCATCCTTGTAATCCTGCTTAAGCATGGACTGAGCTGCTTGGTTGTTTGCACCAATGGCTGCAGCCTTCCACCCACCATAGTTTCCACTTGGGTCACTCATGTACAGCTGGAAACCATAGTTTTTGTCCAACCCAGCAAAAAGGAAGGAGACGCCAAAGGGCCTAAGACCACCAAACTGGGTGTATCCTTGCTTGGTATCGCAGAGAGACTGAACCAGCTGCTCGACAGGGATGGGCTCCTGGTAGTTAAAAGTGTAACGTTGGGCCTGAAGCCTGGCAGTGTTGATCAAGATGTTTGCATCGGACATGATTCCAGCAACAGCACAGGCAACATGATCGTCGATCTTATACATCTTCTCGGTGGAGGTTGAGGTCTGCAGAAGCTTGGACGTAACCTTCTTTTCACCAACCAAGACAACTCCATCTTTAGCCAATATTCCAATAGCACTTCCTGCATTTCCAATGGCCTCCATGGCATACTCAACTTGGTAGAGACGACCCTCTGGGGAGAAGATCGTCGTTCGGCTATCATATCTCCTCGACATGTTTAGTTACAACTGGCATATAACAGAAAGAAGTAGGGTAAGTTGTACTTCCTTAAGTTTAAGGACACCAAGCCAAAAGGGGTAGTCGATTAAACAGCCAATTCAAACCAAAGCTATCATGAAACTAAAGCAGGCAAACTAGAAGGGCATGGAGAGGGGGCTGAGACAAAGTAGCTCATCATCACAATTCACAAGCTAACACTAACACTGAATTCAGGAACAGCAGATGCAGCTGTAGCAGTGAAGAATAGATCACCATTGCGGAACCAAGATTTTTTGCTCGCAGTTAGCTAAACTGAACAAGAATTCTCAGAGATCTCCACAAAAACGAAACCCAGTGCACACCATATCTTAACCCACAAGCGAATGGCGACGGAAAATATCAGAAACCCTAGATTATCCACCATCCCCAAAAAATTCCCACGAACATCGATTACAAACTGTGTGTATTATCGTCGACGGATCTCATAATGCTGAACACATTCATCCCAATCAATTAAATCGAATTCGAGAAATGCATCCACTACATAACCCACAAAAGAGGCAAGAATCTTCACAATGACGCATATACCTTCGAATCGGCGAGACCACGGAGCAGCGAATGGAAAGAGTCAACAGGTAACAGCGCCGGCGATTCGCGACGCGAAGGAAAGAAGTGGGTTGCTTAAGTGCGGTGGACGGAGAATTCGCGATACTGTAAGGTTGAAGCAGTGGTTTGCTTTAAAGCACCGGCGACTCTCGATACTTAGAATGTAAACGGGATTTCTTGAAGGAAAGGTCAGGGAATTGATTTCTCGCTAGAGGGCTAGACTGGAGAATTACAAATAACGTCCCCATACTTTAGAAAACTCACCATCTGAGCCCTAAAGTTAAGTGAAAACTGGGCTGGGTCGATGTTGTTTAATGATGGGCTTTAGGGCCCAAAGGACGGGCTTTGTGGTTTAATGCAGTCTGCAGGCTTTTTATGAATTGTACGCTGATAAGTGAAAACATTAGCGGCCCACTTATGGTTTGGATCGTCTTTCTTTTTTTAATTGGTGATTTGACCTCCTGTATTTATTTTTGTATATCTGGTTTTCTGAAAAAACAAAAAAAGGTGAACACATTAGTGGGCATTTCAGCAATTTGACCTTACGAAAGTTGTAATAAGTAAAGATGTGGCTGTAAAGTTATTAAGAGATAAAGATATGTCTAAAGTGGGCATATTACGAGTATCTCGCGCCATGGTAAAAGCTATCAAAAGCATGATTACCATGTGTTGGGTTTATTTAATTTATGAACATAATTAGATAGAGTGCGAAACTCTCTTTTTATCTTCCTTTTTGCTTATGATTAGTGGGGAAGGTGAGAACAAAGTCCTAAAAAGCTTTGCTGAAAAATTATAAATCTGGAATGTGAAATCTTTTATTAGGTAGATTTCGTATTTGAATAAGAAGAATTTTATAATGTTTACAGTATCGCCTGTATGGCTGTATCAGTGTTTTCTTTTAAATTTTTTTTATGATAAAGATATCAGAGTCAAATCACATTAAAAGAATGCATACCAATATGAATGAAAAGATGCACATGAACCAAACAATCTGTCAAATTTCTCTCCTTAATATAAATGTAGAAAGCATAACAATCTAGTTTCTCTCGACGAAACTATGAAACAGAAGCACGAAATTCGCCATCGAGATGGACAAATTTAACCTCATGTCGACTTCATCTCTAAGCCCCCACCCCCCACCAACCAATGTTGTAATAAGCCATATAACTATTTTGTTAGCTTGTTAATTTAGCTGAATAAAGCAGGAAAAAGGAGTTGGATTGCAATTTGGACGTATTTAGTGTTTGTGCCCATTATCCCACCAATTAGAAGAAGAAAAGGAAGAAAGCAAAGAGTCTTTTTAGTACCACAAGCAATGTTGTATCTCCTCTCCAATCAAATCCATGGCACCTAAAAAAGGGGGTTGTGGCCGTGGGCGCAACCAAAAAGGTTTGATAGGGTTACAAATATTTTAGCAATTGGACGTGTGTGTCGCTTTCATTAGCAGGACAGTGTGACCTTAATTAGCATAAACCAAAAGCTCATGAAGAAAATGCATCTACAAGAGACGTGGGCTAGTTGGAAGTGACGGTCTAATTTCGTCTACACCAATTGACAAGATAACAATCTCTAAAATAAAGTGGCTTAAATATGTTATCGCGTAACCCCAGGTGATGTGGAAGCCAACGATGAAAATTGAGTCTTTTTTTTTTTTTTTTTGACAAAGGGATTGCTTGTATTGCACTTTGAATGATAGATTACAAGAGAAACCAACAAGAAAACTAGAGAAAGATCAAGAGCAGATCCCCAAAGCACACAGTTGAAACCATCTGTGCTTCAGGAAAACAACAACGTGAGCACCAACACAGGATGAAACCAACCAAAACAAAGGACCTGGAAACTCAAGATCTGGAAACAGTAATCAACAAATTTCTCTTGCAACCACACCACACAAAGTAGCACCAAGCACAATCAGCTTGTTCGATCCGACCAAAACCATGGCTATTGAACACAACATTGAGTCTTTGAAGTTAGCATTTTTGAAAATACGATAAGTCCTCAAATTATATTTAGCAATAAGTAGGAAACATTCCATCAAATCGTATGATAAATATTAACAACACCTCACATGCAACTTTTTGTTATATATCCATCCATGCCCACAAGGAACCTGATCATTACAAAAAGCTTCTAGTTCAAATGACTGGCAGTTAATTAGTTTTTTTTATATCATAGTCAGATGAAATAGTAGACAGATATGATTACAATGAGTAAAAATAACGTCAGTCGATACTAATCGAACTGGCGATGAAAGAGCCGTTTATGCCACTAAATGGGCAGCTCTGTTAGTTTCTAAGAATAAAGTGACAAAAACACCATAAACCTATGAAAGGATATACACCGCACCCAAAGTACGTCCACATCCACATCCGGAAGCCATATAAGCAATGCCGGCGGTAATCACCGCTGATGTACCTGCAAACCTACCGAACAAACAAACGAAAAAACCAAACTAAATCTGGCAAGGCCCAGGACAATGCCCACTGCCCAGGGTTCCACGGTTGACATCGCACCGCCTTGGTCAGGTAAGACCAACGAAACAAAAGTTCCGTTCAAATGACTGGCAGTTAATTAGTTGTGCAACAAGAACTTATTAATGCATTATAGAGAGAACATGAATATTGTGTATTTGCTTGCCACAAAAAAAGTACGGTTGTTAGAGAATTCTGTCTTTCAGGAAACGTACCAAATATATCGAGTTTGATTGTCATCTGATGAGAGAAAAGCTTATTGTTCAGATCAGTGTAGTCAAAATCGCGCATTAAAACGTAAAAATTTATGTTTTTACGTATCCAGGCCACCAAAACGTTTTAGTTTCTACCTAAATTCGCTTAGTCACAAAAACTAGTAAAAACATGGGTAAAATCGGTAAAATCGCTTAAAATCGGTAAAATCGCGATTCTGAATCGTTTTTATACGATTTTGATCATCTCATCAAAATGTGCTAATTGGCCCAAAATGATGTAATTTTGGAGACATATCAGCAAAAAATAAAAAAAGGAAAACATGATTCAGCACTCGCTCTACAACTAGTGTCGAGACAAGGGCTTCATATTAGGTTGAAAAGACACCTAATGGTATTCTCAATAGCCGCTGACCTTCTATCAGTCTTCTCCCTAAATCTTCACCTGTGGCTCTTACTTGGGTTACGATAAAAGTTTATGGTTAATTGATCATATGTAATTATGTAAACTCAAACCAGCTTATGAGAATTTGGATTCTCAAGCTCGTTTACGAGTTACGATCTACGTTTATGAGCTTATTATTAAGATGTTATGAGTTTTCTTTACTTTTGAGTCAACACAAATCAGTTTATGTGGTAGATATTACATTTTAATTATGAATTTCATGCAGTTATTCACTTATCTAAAATCTACACACTCACATTTTACATACTATATGTTGTACTTAACATATTTTAGCTATTTTAGAGGATGCGTCAAAAACTTACGCTTTTACGCTTTGATTCTACGTTTTACGATTTTACCCATTTTCCGCTTCTAGGTAGAATCGCGCTTTTAACTGCATTGGTTCAGATCATCAATGATAATATTGGGGGAGATCTTTGTAAATATGAATCAATAATTGGTTGGGACATGGCGGAAGCGAGAGGAGCCGAGGCTTGGTATCGTAGCACCTAAGGATTCCAAACACTAGAAACGAGAGAAGCAGGATAAGTTATCATTATTTTCAGGGGTGGGACAAAACAGACATTATTATCATTGAAGGTCTCACTGATCAGCACATGCAATGTTCGTTTGAGGCTTCAATGAATGCGTTAAGCCGCAGAAGAGGTTTACTGTCAAAGACTAACGTACGTGGTGAACGCGTAAAACCCATCCCCCAGTGGAGAGAAGGTTAAAACCATGAGATTATCAGTGATCAGATATACAAGACAAAAAAACTTGTAATGATCCGGAAAAAAGAACAAGGGTCTTATTATTTTTTTGGTAGAAAACAAGGGTCTTATTTTATAACACATAAAAATGATGTGTTTGTGTGAGATTTAGCAAGTGGGGCGCAACAGTGAACTGGCTTGGCAAGCAAGTGGGTTGGAACTTGGAAGTTGGAACCAAGCTTTCATAATTAATTAATGAATTATCATATTCATTATTCGGGAATGGAGGCCCTTAAGGACAAATTAAAGAAAGCAGTTGAATGAAATCATAATGATCTGATATCCACCATCCATAATTAAGAATTCCAAACCTTAACCAATAAAATGAAAAATGAAATCCCACAATTAGAGTAGTTTTGGTCAAAGAGGGATCGACGATCGAGCTAATTGACTTCTCACCTCTCGCCCTGGGAATAAAAAAAAAAACAAAAGCCCCCAGAAACAAGAAGGTTAGGTCTCCTTTTCGCTTATGATTTTCTTTCTCTTCCTTTCGCTCTGTGTCACTATCATCTC